CGGCCCGGTCTGCGGGCCCCCGCGGCCTCTCGCGGACGCTCGCTCCCGCCTGGCCTCCTGGGGGCCCCCTGGGACGCACGGTGGGCGCGGGTCTGCGTCTGCCCTGTCTCTCACCACCTCTCCGGTGCCTGCCCCCTGCCCAGTTCGCGGCCCCCGGTGCGGGACACCCGCGGCTCGCTGGCGCCCGTTTCCATGGCGAGCTCCCCCGCGCCCGGAGGCAAAGCTGCCTGGCCTGGAGGCGGCGAGGCTCGCCCTCCGTGCTGCCCGCGGCCGAAGCCCCTCGGCCTGCAGGGGCCTCAGCAGCCGCGGCCAGGTGCGGCACCTGGAGGTGCGGGGGCGGCGCACACCGCCTGTGGGGTGAGGGCTGCTGACCCCACGTTTCACCGCAGACCCGAGGAGCTGAGGCCACTTCCCCAAGTCGCCAGACTCCCCTGGCGGGAGCCACTCTGTGCACTTATTCCCTGGCGCGCCTGTGCCTGGACAGTTGCCCCTGACCTGCTGCCAACAGGGACAGGCCCTGACAGTCCCGCGGTTCTCTCTCCATTGAAGGGCTGCGCCAGGGCGCCCGGTGTGCGGCCCCCTTCTCCGCTCTCCACCCTGCTGGCTCCCGCCCTCCCCGTCTGTCCTGTTAGTCACAATAGTTTTCTCCTGTCTTGGGACCCAAATGCGTTTTTCGAAGAATGTCCGTGTGGTAATGTTAGTGAACAGACAGACGCAGGTGGTGGGAACGCGAGGTTAAGGGAATGATTCCACAAAATGGGCCACTGTGCTGACTCCCACAAGCTTCTGACGGAGGAGAAGCGGGCCTTGGGGCTGGGGGGTGGCTCAGCGGCAGAGCACTGGCCTGCAGTGAGAGGCCCTGGGTTCCATCCCCAACACCACATAAAAACAAATAAGCCATGGTATTGGGTCCGACTTGGACTAAAAAATGTTTGCCAAAAAAAGAAAAGAAATTGACCTGCAGCCCTGCCTGGCCGCAGTGGACAGGGCACCTCACATTCCTCCGCAAACTACCTGTTCACTGCAGGAGAAGTGCAGGCCCAAGATCATGTCGATGACAGGAACCCAGGAGATTTTTTGTGTCCAGATCCTGAAACTCTGGGAGATAAGCCTAGTTCCTCCTACCCATGAAATCTGTGAGAATGTATGTTAAGAATCTAATTAGAGGGGCTGGGGTTGTAGCTCAGCAGCAGAGCACTTATCTCAGCCCAGCATATAAGTAAGGAAATAAAATAAAGGTACGTCGAACTAAAAAAAAAAAAAAATTCAAAAACTGGGTTTTTTTGTTTGTTTTTAAAGAATCCAGTTAGAAGGTGGGCCTGGTGCCACAGGCCTGTAATCCCAGTGATTTGGGAGGCTGAGGCAGGGGGGTTGCAAGTTCAAAGGGAGCTTCAGCAACTTTCCAAGGCTTTAAGCGACTTAGTGAGACCCTGTATTAAAATCAAAAAGGGGGGTGCTGGGGTGTGACTCAGTGGTTAAGCACCCCTGGGTCAAACCCCAGGCACAAAAAAAAAAAAAAAAAGTTTCCAATTCCATGGGCCAAGGTGACCTAGAGTTTCCATGGCAGTGGGGACTTGAAAGTCTGATGTCACCCTACTGTCTGTCAAATGTCAAGGTGGACCTGAGCGGGACTTCCTGGAAGCTTCACTGGTCCAAGTGGACCCTTCTCTCCCTGGGACGAGGCCCCTTTCCCCTTCCTACCCCGTCAGTGAACTCACTCCTGTTCCTCTGAGCCACATCTCAAGTCCTTCTGATTGACAGCAGTGAGAGCGGGACCCAGGGTGGGTGTCAGCCTAGGGCCTTGGTTTCCTGGCTGTAAGTGGGCACAGGGCCCCTGTGTCAGCAAGCACACCCACCTGCTGCCTGCTGTGGATGACAGAGAAGTGACCCGAGGGAACTGAGGCCGCGGGCAGCCTGGGAGGGTCAGGCACATCTGTCGGCTAGGCCCTCTGTCCCCTGCCTGTCTAGGCACTGAGCCGGGAAGGCGGTTGGGAATCCTGGTGTTGAAAGGTGGCCACAAACGGCCCTCGGGAGGCAGGAGGAGGAGGGGAGGTGTGGCAATCGACTGTCCCTGGTCCCTGGTGGGGAGAGAGGGGACCCATCCTGGGCCTCCTGGCAGCTGGCAGGACCCCCAGGGGCCTGGGAGGGCCAGGGTCAGGGTGGGGAGCCATTCCTCTGTTGATCCCCGATGGTGGAGAGGGGGCAGACGTCCACGGTGGACACAGTGCTGGCCGAGGGTCCGAAGTCAGTCTGGGCCCTGGGAGCCACCTGCAAGTTCAAACCAGCCCTGCCTGGTGCGTGCGCCCAGGTCCCCTCTGCAGAGACAGGGAAACTGAGGCAGAGAACGGGGGCTACCCAGAGGTCACCCAACTGGGAAGGAACGGTCCTGGGGCCCAAGTCCACAGGTAGCACCGTGCTCCAGGCAAGTTGGTCTGCAGGAAGGAAATGGGGCCCTGGGAGAGACCAGGCCCGAGCTTGGCCAGGAATGTGGTGGACTGCTGTTGGGTTCAGGAGAGAGAGGGGCCAGGTGGGGGGAACACTCAGGAGAGCAGGGTCAGGGGCTGTGCCTGGGGATGCTGCTAGGTGACTGGACCTGGAGGCTCAGCAGAGACCTGAGCTCAGGACCCCAATACTAGGGCTGAACAGAGGACCCCAAAATCTACCTGACCCCCCCTCCGGGGGTGAACCACTCTGGGGAGCCCCACAGCCCGACATGAACCAGGGTCCCCGAGGGCACGGCCACCCCCACCTCCCCTCTTACCTCAGCAGTGAGGCACCGGGGCCACACCTGTATTCCCAGCCCCCCACAAGCCTGAGGCCCGCCTCAGCAGCTCAGCGTGGCCGGTCCGGGTCTGCCCTTCTTCTGGGAAGTCGCTGGCTGCTTTGCTCGCCGGCAGGGTCCTGTTCCTGCCCACAGTGGAGGAGGGCACCTTTTTGGGGGTCCTGCCCGGCACGCCCTCACAGTTGTCCCAGGGGTGTGAAGGGCACCTCACGGGGCCTTGATCTGCATTTCACACGACTCGGGAAGTCCCCGTGTTTTTGTGTGTTTGCTGGCGATCGGTGTATTCTCCTTCCAGAGCTGTCTATTCGGGTCTACAGCCCTGTTTTGATTTGGTTGCTTGTCTTTGTTTTGGAACTACAAGAGTCTGAACTCGGGAGCTCACTTCCGACTTCCAATTTCCAGGTCCACATTCCTGGCCCCGGTCCTGAGTGCCCTGGACCTCTGCAGACTGGAAGGGCAGGGGAATCCTCTGAGACCGGGCACTGGCAGCTCAGGCAGGGACCAGCATCTCTGAGCATCAGGGTGCTCAGGGACCAGAGGGAAAGGCCACACAGCCTGACGCTTCACCGGCTGCGAACACCCCGACAAATCCAGGCTCAGAGTCCAAAGACAGGTGCAGACAGGGACATGTGGGGTGGGGCAGGGGCAGACAGGACTGCTCACTGTCCATGTGCACAGGGCTTCTTTAGGGGATGATGAGACTATGCCCAAACTGATGCCCGCTCAGCTGTGTGAGTGTGAAGCCACTGCACCCTGGGGGGGGGTCTTAGGTGTGCATTGCATCCCCATGAAACTGTGTAAACAGCGAGACACCCCCTCCCTCCAATCCCAGTGACTTCGCACCCATGCAGAGGACGCGGGTTCCAGGCCAGGCTGAGTAACTGAATGAGACCCCGTCTCGGAACAAAAAGCTGGCTAGTTCAGTGGTAGAGCACCCCTGGGTTCAACCCCCAGTACTGACAGCAAAAAGAAAAATGTTTAAGAATAATAGGGTGCAGCGCCAGGCTGCACCCCAGGCCCTGTGCTGGGCTCAGCCCCTCACCCCTTGCCTGTCTGCTGGCCGCAGGGGCCCTGGGCTCATGTCCCCACTCACACCTGCAGATCTGTCTGTTTCACAGCAGGAAACCGCGGGGGCAGTGGGCTGGGAGCAGTTTGGTGGAGATGGGGCAACTTCCTATGTTCTGCCACGGGGCCTGGCGGCCTGGTGGGGGTCGCGGTCACCAGAGCTGCCTGGAAAGTCCCACCCCCCGTGGCCCACAGGGTGGCAATGCCTGACCCCCCCAGTGTCCCCCATCTGTGCTGAGATCCGGCTGAGGGGGTGAGGGGGCTGGTGGGGGACAGAGAAGGACTGTGATTGGCCAGGGCCACCCACCCACCCAGCCCTGCAGGACTGCGCCAGGGCAGAGGTGGGACCCTGTCCCATCGTGGAGCAGCAGGGTGGGGGAGGCCGGGGGTCTCCCAGGGCGGGCAGGAGGGGCCCTGAGTAGGAGGCAGCGGCCTTTGGGGGCTCAAAA